AGAGAGGGGGAGGAGTTGAGAAAGTAAAGTAAAAATGTCATATGTCTTGCAAATATCTCTTGGAATAGCCAGCCTTAGAGAGGGGATGTGTTGATTTCTTCCTTTCTGTAGCTATCCACAGATGAACAGGGTTAGGATGTTTCCCTGAACAAAGGTGCTTTGGTTCAGCATTCAGGCTGAGGGTCAGAGTTCCCAAAGGCAGGCCATTTTGTATAGACAATATCCTTTTAGTGAACAAAAACATGGGGAAGCAAAGATTAAAGTAAAAGAAACAGATCCAACCTGGAGTCAGATTTTGCTCTTACCTATAGCATAGTGATCCACAGGACTTGGACTATCAAATTGGAATTTGGTCACATACAGTAGAAGAAAGGTAGAAGAACCTTGATTATATCCCATCCTCAACTGAAATTTGTCTGCTACTCTTTTATGTAAATGAGAAAGAGCTTTGTACACAGGGAAGTATTTTGCCCAAGCTTATTACTATCATAACCACTGCTGGCTCGATCTTTAGACTACACACACTGTTCCCACCAGAACATACTTGAAGAGTGAAATAGTACTCAATGAACAAAAATTCTTCTGTGACAAGGGTGATGGGCTTCTTGAGGGGTTTAACCCCAGGAAGACACGAAACTCCAACACGAGGCAAACAGATCTTTATTTGAACCAGGTTTTCTCTAATTGTTACTGTCAGGGTAATTTATGGCCAAACTTTGGTGCATTTTTCACCAAGGCAATTTTTTACCAGGCCCTGTCAAGGGTCTCCACAGTGCCTATGGTCATGGCTGGGGGAAGTCACTGCAGCGAAAACAGCCAAAGAACTCAGGCTCCGGAAGACTGCACTTGGCAAGCTGCAGTCTGGATGAAAGGCAGCTGAGAGGTGTGTCTGCCTGGCTTAAAGAAGACCTTTTACTTCTTTCTAAAGTCAAAGTCAGGCTGTTGAATAAATCCAGGAACAAAGTGCTAAAATGACTAAATAGGTCAAATCAATAAGAAGGATGGGGAAGCAATAGAAGAAAGAATTAAGAAGATATACAGGTATTTTACTGGGCTGTGTGCATCTTGAGGACTGGGTCTATTTTGTCCACCCACCCCATCCCCCACTTAAATATTGAGTGAATGAATGATGTAACTTATACATTTTCTTACTCTGTGACCAAGACAACAATTGATTCAAACTCTTGTGCCTTACACAAAGCCATACAGAATTCTAAAGATTGTAAAGTTGGACCAGATGACCTTTAAAGTCTTTATGAGACTCTATGACTCTAGTTTGACCAAAAATGAGTTAATGAGCATTAAATACCATAGGCCTAAAAAACACTAGCTTTAACTGAGTTTTAGGGAAGATACTAGAAATTATACTTGTCACATTTTTCTTGGCCCATTTTAGCCCAGGAGCTGAATCCAAACTAGTATAAATATGAAGCTCTACTGACTAAGGAGGGTTTTTTGTGTAGCTATTGTTGGTGGAATATGCACTAGATGAGGAATCCCATGATGTTAGACACTAACCCTGCGTTCTTGTGTCCTGGTCAGTCACTAAGAACTCTGTGGGCCTGGCATTCACAACTGGAATAGATGACCTGCCAAAAACTATGAGCTCTGACTTTTATATGAGCTTAAGCAGAGAAGCTGCCCAGGGTCATCTCTTTACCCAAGGTCTGTGGGAAATAGTTTTAGGTCCCATAATTCCTCAGGCATTACATAAGATGCTTGTTCTTTCCAGCTTCTTCAGGCCCAATGTAAATATACAAAATGATTCATATTTGCAGCAGTGAAGGAAATCCAGGACATTCTGGGAAACTCAGGAGAGAAAACATTGGTTTGAAAAGTGAGCAGTTGACAGGCTCAGGGGCACAGTCCCAAAAGTAAGCGGGGGATGTGGAGGGGTTATTTACCTCTAATCTGTCTCTCCTTCACTTAATCCACCTTACTGCCAGAGTAATTGCCCTGAAATCAAAGTCAAATCGAGTCATTCCCTAGTTCACAACCCTAAATGGTTCAACATCTGTAAAATGAAGAATAAACACTTTTGTGAGGGATTTTAGACTGTCGCCTTCTGACCCCAAGCCATCATTTCAACCTCATATCATGTTGCATCCCTCTGTGCTCTCTGGGTGACACCGCAGACCACTGGGCATCTCATCATTCCTTGAAATCTATATGTGTTCCATCCCACCACATCTGTATCTGAGTTACAATGCCCTCACTTGTACACTCTTCAAAGACCCACTCAAATAATTCCCCCAGTATCTATAGTTCACCAAGCACTCTCGTCCCTTATAACATCTGCTTACATCTTATTACTGATTTAATTTAATTATGCCTCTGATTAGAATTCTCTGTATAAATATCTGCTCCCCCCTTCTCTGTAGCTTTATTTTGGATGACATGGATCATATCCTCTTAATTTTTGTTTTTCCCACAACTCCTATTATTTGATTTTAATTACTGTAGGTGGTAAGATAATGTTTTGTCAGACAAAAGAATGAGGAGCTGACACATCTTTCACTTGAGTTAGCATTCCACCTGACATGGGTAGGATAGGATTTGTGACAAATGCCGCACAGCTTGAAGAACAGGGGACTGTGTGGAAGAAGGTATCTAAGGCAGAAAGAGACTCAAAAACATACTGGGATGCTGGCTGGGGAGGCAATGTGCCCAGGAGTTAGGGGCAGAGGCTGTGGATGGTCCCACAATATCTGTTCTCCCCCTCTGTTGTGGTAGTAGAACACCCAAGTTTTAGCTGAGCTCATGGCTGTCCACCTGAAGAGTACATTATTTCATCATTCTTGAAACCCGGTGTCAAACATTAACCCAAGGAATGTAAGTGAAAGACGTATGAGCAACATCAGATGTGTGCCTTTAGAATGAAAGGAATATTCTTTATGTCCTCTTTCCCCCGCCCCCTTCCCATGTATATGGAATTAGAGAGTGGCAACGTACACTTGATCATGAGAATGAGGGCCACTTCACAGGGCTTAATAGTATTGAGTGTTACTTCTGCAGCCTCCCTATCTCACTATGTGGGCAGCCTCCTCCTTCAAGTCACTCAAGGTATGCATGCATGCTCTGTCATGCCCCACTCTTTGCAATCCCATGGACTAGAGCCCTCCAGGTTCCTCTGTCCATAGGATTTCACAATCTAGCATGCTGGAGTGGGTTGCCGTTTCTTTCTCCAGGGGATCTTTCCGACCCAGGGATTGAACCCGGGTCTTTTATATATCCTGCATTGGCAGGTGAATTCTTTACCACTGCACCACATGGGAAGCCCCTGTTGTTACTCAGGTAAAGTTATCTTTGATTTCTCATTCTCTCAGAGAAAAATATCCAATACCTGCTTTGCATTCTTGAAAGCACTTAACGTGTGTGTTGAACTTCTAGTTCTTTATCTCCCTGTACTGTCCGCCTAAACTGGGAATTGGGGGTTTTATCCATCAGCTCCCATCCTCTGTTAGCTGAAGTTTGCATCCATGGGTGATAATTCTTTGCACGCTTCTGAGCTGTTTGTAGGCCAAGATATATCCAGGGACAGAAAAGGATGCCAGGTACACTTTTGAGATGAAATGCTGTCAGTGCCATGAGACAGAAGCCCAACTCCAAGGTGTGGTTGAGAGCTGTTGAGGGGGCACCAGAGGCTTCTGATACACATCATGTTTCCCAGTCTCCCCCCACAGATGTACAACCTTTATGAGAAAAGGGACTCTGTCTCTAGTACTCTATTCTTAGGACACAGAGCAGTGCCTGGTCTTAGTGGGTACTCAGCACATGTCAGTTGAATGAATGAACTAAATTCCTTAGCCTTTTTTGGGTCTCTTTCCTCACCTGTAAAAGGGGGATGATGATCCATTTGGTTTTGCAAGGTTCTTATGAGGGTCAAATCAATCATGCAAGATGCTTGGCACAGAAAAAGACCACAGTAAATTGTAAGCTATTATGAATTAGCTGCATGCAGGCTTTGTCTAGTTGTAGCGAGCAGGAGCTACTCTTGGTGGCAGTGCTTGGGCTTCCCATGGTAGTCGCTTCTCTGGTTGCGGAGCACGGGCTCTAGGCACATGGGCTTCAGTAGTTGCAGCAAGTGGACTCAGAAGTTACAGCATGCGGGTTCAGTAGTCATGGCGCATGGTCTTAGCTGCTCCACAGCACGTGGGAGCATCCTGGACCAGGGATTGAACCTATGTCCCCTGCATTGGCAGGCAGATTCTTAACCCCTGGACCACCAGGGAAGTCCCTTGGCATTACTGATTTTGCCACTATAAACAATGCGGCAGTGAATATCTTTACCCATAAAATGTTACTTCCTTGATTATTTCTGTATGATAAAATCCTTTGGCTCTTTTCATGATGCCTCCAGACCCACCTTCCTTCTCAAGTACTGACTTCCTGGGTCACTGCTCAGACTGCTCAGTGCAGAGTTCCAGGGTAAAAGAAAGGACAAGAGCTTCAGGTCATGTCCAAGCAAAATGATTTTCTATTTTCAACAATCCTCTAGACCAACATATGCATTTCATGGGAAATATAATTAACACATAATTTGCCAGACTGAATTAAAATATGATTTGTGATTAAAGAGTTTAGTATCTCTTAAAAGATTATTTAATTAGAGATTTTCTTTAAGTTGCATTTCTTCCCAAAACTACCCCTCTCTAGCATAAATCCCCTCATTGGAGAGTCCTTTGAGTTAGGGCAGCCTTGCAATGTGATGGAAGGGCATGCATCCTGGTTTCAGACACACACTATGAACTGTGTGACCTCAATCACGTTGTGTAGCTTCTCCAAGCCTCTATTATTTTCCATTTGTAAATTGACAGTTCTGCTTTTTGTTACAATGTGTAGATAACATGGTGTTTATGAAAACATTTCTAATGGGCCTGGCATATGGTAGGTATACAGTAAAAATTTCCTCACCTTTTTTCTTTTTTCTTTTTTTTTTTTGAATTCTCAAGACCTACTCAAGGCATGATCATTGCAGTGACTTTGGTTTTTTTTAATTAAACTGATTATCGATTTATTAAAAAGGTTAATTTAGGCATCGGCAATGGTGACTTCCACCTCGACTCCTGGCTCAATACTGATGGAAGTGATCTGCTTGACAATTTCAGAAGGGCTGTGCAGGTCAATGAGTCGCTTGTGGATCCTCATTTGGAATCGATCCCAAGTCTTAGAACCTTCACCACAAGGAGTTTTCCTTGTAGTTATTCTCAGAGTCTTGGTAGGCATCCGAACTGGTCCTTTCACTTTGAGATTCTTTTCCTTCCCGCCTCTGATCAGGTCAGCACACACCTTCTCCAGAGACTTCACGTTGCGGCCGGTGAGGGTGCTCCTAATCCGGTGAACGGCCACCTCTGGCTCCACGCGAGTCTTGCGGGCGTCTTTAAAGGCCTTGGCTGCAGCTCGGCCTCCTGACCGACTTGTTCCTCGGCGAGAGCGAACCGCAGTGAGTCCGGAACAAGAGCGGGCGGCGCGGGGCTCCGCTGCAGCGGCGACCGCGTCTTCCTCAAAAAGCTATTGCAGTGACTTTGCATGACAGTGTTCATATTATAGTTCTCAGTAAGCATGTGTCTTCTTGAGGACACATCCAGCAATCAATAACATTGGTTGGAAATGAGTGTTTTTCCACGACACCAAAACCAAATTTTGGAAAATTCTTTCAGGTAAGGCTTCTCTTTGGAAAATTCCAATTCCCTTATTTGCAGCAGCCAAGTGCTATTTACCCCAGGACCCAACACCTTTCAATTTGTTATTTTCAATGTTAATAAATGATTTAGTTCATTTCCTGTTTTCCTCTGCTCACCAACCTGCCAGCAGCAGTCACACGCCAACCTTAAAATAACTGTACTGGCAGACAGCGGATTCAGATTCTTAGTAGGAGATCTGTAGCTGTGTTACCCGGTCAACCCAGCTGGAGAGACGCAGGCATGACTTCTGACATCTAGCTGTGTGCTTTGGTGAATGCAAGTGAAGAATAAGTTTAGGAAGGCTTGGAAGGAAGAGTGTTGTAAGACTTGAAAAGCTGTGTTGATGGTTGGTGAGGACAAAAGACTGTGTCTTGATTGCTCTGGTCATATTCTCTGGAGTACCCGGTAAACAGCAAGCACACAGTAGGAATGAGTAAGTAGACCTGAGCGGATGCCAATAGGGGAGCTGGTGTACCCTGTCTCCAAATTTAATCCTGTTCTAATTTTTTTTTCTCAAGTTTCTTCCAGTGTTTTTAGTCATTTTCATCATTTGGGTTTCTTTGCTCCTCTTTGCCAAATTTCTGTTTGTATTGCTCACCATACCTATACCTAGTAGAGAGGCTAGCCCTCCTAGAGAATTTAGCAAATGTATGTGGAATGAACAAAAGGCAGAGATCTTTTGCATAAGATACTGGAAGCTGGACTAAATGTTTGTAAGAGAGAGAGATTGAGATAAAGATGAAATGCATGCCTTTGTGCATGGATACTTATATGTGATTGTAAAGTTCTCCCCACAAGTGGATACCAGATCACACTGTGGGGTACTGAGATGTACACTTGTTCTTCAGGGCCTTCTGATGTTTTAATTAAAACTCTAAGCGGCATTCAAATCTGGTTTCTCAACAGCGATTTTGATGACTTGGGCTGTGCTTTTTTCATCCTATTGCTTTCAGATATACATAAATCTTTCTTCCCTCTCCATTTTTTTCCATGTGTGTGAAATGTGATACTTTTCAGTATTCTTGGGTTTTTCTTGGAATTCAGATTTTTCACTTCCTCCACATCTGCTGTGAAACCAAATATTGATTAATGTGACCTATAAACCTAACCGGTGAAGGGGGCCAATGACCAGTTCCTATTCTTGAATTTTTAAAAGAATATCTATCATTTATTCCAATCTCTCTCTTAATTGTGTAGGTTTTATTGGTTTGGTTTGTTTTTTTTTTTTTGGTTTCTGAAAAGATTAAAGGAAGATAACACCAGCAGTATAGTTCTCAATCACATCTGAGGTTTAAATTCCAAGTCTTTTGACTCACCCTGAACATATCATTATTAACTTCAATATAGAAATGTTTCTAACTGTCTATATAAAAATTACAGTGTGATATGAATTATACAAACCCAAACATCTCCAGAAGGTAGTTCCTATTGCTTTGAAAGGCTCATAAATGTAACAAAGAATTTAGCAATAAAATAGAGTCATCACTCAGTGATTCTTCAGGATAAAAATCTACCTAAAGATTTTTAAAAAGTTGTAACCTTCAAGGGTCTGAAATTTGGTGAAAAGGATGCTTGCTTGAAGACTGGGAGAGTGACTCTTGAGTTATAGTATTACTTTTACCCAAATAAAGTAGGACATGCATATAGTTCTCATGATTCAAAATCCCAACAAGTGCTATTTACATAGAATACAAGGAGATCAAACCAGTCAATCCTAAAGCAAATCAACCCTGAATGTTCACTGGAAGGATTGATGCTGAAGCTAAAGCTCCAATACTTTGGCTACCTGATATGAACTCATGAAAAAGACCCTGATGGTGGGAAAGATTGAAGGCAAAAGAAGAAGGTGGTGGCAGAGGATGAGATGGTTAGATAGCATCACTGACTCAATGGACATGAATATAAGCAAACTCTGGGAGATAGTGGGGAACAGGGGAGACTGGCATGCTGCAGTCCATGGGGTTGCAAAGAGTCGAACATGACTTAGTGACTCAACAACAACAACAAGACCAGGACCCTCTGTAGTTTGTGCAAAAAAGTTTGTGCATATATACATATATATGCAAAAGAGCAGAGTCTTCCTGAAAGTAGCTGCCTCCTTAGAAAGTCTTAATCCAAAATAATTGCCTTGTTTAAAACTTTGAAATTACCTTAAAGGTCTGTGTTACATTCTTTGGAATGTCCTTAATAGTGGCAAATAATCCTTTGATGGGAGATTTGACATTTGGAAACATTAAAAATCTTTAGGTACCAAACACATAAAAAAAGTAGAACAACCTAGGAAATGTCTTTCTTTCTTTCTTTTTTTTTTTTTTTGGTTAAAAAAAGAAATAATTCTGAGGTATTTGGATTAATTTTTCCATGTGCCTGAAGTGAAAAAGCTTTTCCCAAGGAGGTAAGAGAAGGTTAGGTGCCAAAGAAGCCTCAACCGAATAAACATGTGGCCTCCTGATGACGTAATTTTGAGGGAAGCAATGTTAATTTGGCTATTTTTGTATTTTTCCCAAGTCTTATTTTGTTAATATTACCTCCAAAATCTAGTTGAATGCTTATATTGGCACCTCAGTCTTCTCATGGAAAACACGAGAATATAGGAGGCTGTTTCTGAGAATATGTACATTAAAAGACAGAGGTTGCTCAGAGATTTCAAATAACAATTTAGATGGAGAAAGGTCTCAGAAAAAAACCTCTGTCTTGAGCCAAAAACTTGATCCTCTATCCTGACCGCATTATGAATTCATCAGCACTAAGCAGTCTACATTCTGTATCACCATTTTGCAGAAAGGATGGTAAGAGAGAACAATTTATAAGCTAACAGGATTCCCAAGAAAGCTGCACTTCACCTGTTGACTATAGGTCAGTCATTCTGCACAAGATTTCCAATCATGGACAAAATAACCAAGCCACCAACATCTTCTTCTCGATCCTTTTGGTTTGGTAATGAATCCAAGGGAGTGTGAGGCTGAACCTGTTGGACTTCCCTGAGAATCAGGAAACTACCCTTGTCTTTAGAAGCTGCTGCTGCTGCTGCCAAGTTGCTTCAGTCGTGTCCGACTCTGTGCGACCCCACAGACGGCAGCCCACCAGGCTCCCCCGTCCCTGGGATTCTCCAGGCAAGAACACTGGAGTGGGTTGCCATTTCCTTCTCCAATGCAGGAAAGTGAAAATTGAAAGTGAAGTCGCTCAGTCGTGTGTGTCTTTAGAAGGCAACGCCACAAACTCAGCAGATATAATCAGTCTTTGCACATGGCGAGATGACTTGTACCAAATGAGAAGTCTCCCTATTTCCTCTTTACTTCTATTGAAAGTCAAATCTATTAAGGTTAGTCAGAGCCCAGGTTTGTTGGGGGGGAGGGTGTACATGTGTCTGCCTTGTGTTGATCTTCTGTTGTCCTGGTGCTCCCAGGATCATGGCGGGAAGTGTTGAGTGACCCCTTTTATGTCTAGACAGATACTCATAATGAAATAGATGTCTGGCTCTTGAAGCTAACTTCTTAGTGTGGAGGTATTTTGGTTTACAAAGGCCCCGATAAGAATGATGACATTGTCTTGGGTGAAGCCACAGAGACCAAGAGGAAAAATGAGCAGGCATGAGGAGAGGGGCCATTCACCTAAGGCAGAATACTGACAATAATAGGAATCCTGTGTGTTCAGTCGTATGGACCGAAAAGTAGTCATCTAGTCCGACTTTCCCAGACATCCAAATAACCTGCCTTGATCTTCCTAATGCTCCCAAATGGTTGCAGGTTTTCTTAATGGTTTGTTTTCCTTTGGCATTCTCAGGACCCTTGATTTTAGCAGAAGCTAGAGCAAGCCTCTAGGGGTTCACATTACACAGCGTCCATGACCATTTTATGAATTTCATCATAAGCAAAGCCAGTTGGACAAAGAATGAGCTCTTACTTTCCCCTCCATTTCCTCCTTCCTAATTTTCCGTACTGTGGAATGACGTTTGAAAGGATTTTCTCTTGACTTCTATTAATGAAAGTTCATCATTCCTTGCTTAGCCAAATCTAATGTCTCTGCATTACCTAGAAATTATGGTGTGATAGATGAGAACAAGTTAAAATAGAGTAAGATGAAATGGAAGTACTTTCTAAAAACTTTTTTTTTCCTTTTTAAGCTTTACCGTCATCTGCCTGCCAGGTGGAACCTATTTGGATAATACAGCACAGATGTACCTTGTTGTACCCAACAGATGAATTCCTGAAAAGCTGCATTTGATAGAATTTTTATAAATTGAATCACATTTTCCTGTAGACTCATCTTATAGTAACAGAAGCCATTATCCACATTTGACTGATCTTCAATTGGCAGAGGCCTCTCACTCTTGAGCTTCAAGTTTCTCAGCCAAATCTCTATGTCAAACAGTTAATGATCTGGAAATAATAAGCACTTATGTGAGCTCGGGGAGCACTATACTTAAAGGAAATTTGATTGTATTCCTCTGAAAGTAAAGAATCTTTACTGTGTAATGTGACTTTTCATTCATGGAATCTTAGACTATCAGGAACGTTAGAGACGATGTAGTCCGAACCTCTCTTTTTTTTCCAGATGAGGAAACTGAGGCCCTTGGTGTTCATTCACCTATGATGGTGTAAAACAGTCACATAACATAAAGGAGAAAACACTGATGTTGAGGTTGGCAGCTTTGAATTCAAATATTCTCTTCCCAGCACACAAGCTATTTGGTTTGGGGCAAGCTATCAGAACTTTCTGAGTCCAATTTCCTCATCTTTAGAACAAGGATAGTGTTACCCACTTTGCAGGATTTTTGTAAAAATTAAATAAGATATGAGAAGTGGTAACACATTGCCTAGAATACAATAAGCGTTGGGTGTTTGTCTTCTCAATTTCTCTTTTTAGGATTTTTCAAAGGACATATTTTGTATATGTATTATTTTTTAATATGTATTTACTCAATGGACATGAATTTGAGCAAACTCCAGGAGATGGTGAAGGACAGGGAAGCCTGGCATGCTGCAATCCATGGGGTCCCAAAGAATTGGATATGATTGAGTGATTGAAAAACAACATGTATTTTTTAATTTATTTTACTTATTTGGCTGTGGCACACAGGATCTTTGATCTTGGCATTGTGTGACAGGATCTTTAGTTGCAGCTTGCAGAACCATTTTTAGGTGCAGTATGTGAACTCTTAGTTGTGACATGTGGAATTCTAATTTCCTGACGGGGGATTGAACACCAGCCCCCTGCATTGGAAACACAGAGTCTTAGCCACTGGACCATCGGGGAAGTCCCAACATGTGTTTTAAAAATGCAATTACTCTAAAAATTGCAAAGATAATGATGCTTGTCACTGAAATTTTTAGGAAGTCAGAGACTTAGAATGAAACACAAATGGTCTCTTTTTATCCTCCCACATTCTGAGCCCCTTTTCTCAAACCTCTTTCTAAAGGAAAGCACCATTAACAGTTTTATTCCCTTTGTATTTTTCCAGAATTTTTTCTTCACCATCTTTTTAGGTGAAACACATCCTGTACCAAACACATCCTGTACCAATAACCTATGTGCAAGTGTGTGTGTGAAGTTGCTTCAGTCATGTCTGACCATTTGCAACCTATAGATTGTAGCCTGCCAGGTTCCTCTGTCCATGGGATTTCCAAGCAAAAATACTGGAGTGAGTTGCCATACCCTCCTCCAGGGGTTTTCCTGACCCAGGGATCTAACCCTTGTTTCCTAAATCTCCTGCATTGGCAGGTGGGTTTCTTTACCACTAGCGCTACTTGGGAAGATACCCCAATATCCTTATAAGGACCTTCAAAAAGTCTTTGTTATCAGTTTGTTATTGCCATAAAAACACTGTATAACAGAATGGTTACCAAGCCTCGATGGCATACAACCACTAGTACTTATTTCTCACTCATACATTGGAGAGTCAGCTGGATGGCTCTGCTGATGTCAACTGTGTTTCTGGGTTTGCATGTTCTGGTTCAGTTCTGCTCCACAAATAAGGTTTGACTCCAAGTTCAGTTCAGTTATGCTGTGTGTGTTTCTCTTTCTTCTGGGACAATCAGGGCACATGGAACATGTTCTTTTCATGGCAGACGTTGGAGGTTCCCCGAGAGATGAGTGGAACCAAGCGATATCTTTTGAGGATGACACTTGCAGTGGACTCACTGTCACTCTGAGCCAAATTCCATTCGTCAAAGCAAGTCACATGGCCCAGCCCACCAAAAGTGGAGTAGGGAAGTAAATCCATCTTGGCAGAAGAGGAACTGCCAAGTCACAAGGCAAACGGCATGTCTAGAAGGCAGAGTGAACAACTGGGATCAATAGTGCAATTCCCTATAGTCATAGCAAGGGCAAACCCACTCGAAAGTTGAACATGTCCCCTAGGCCAGCCTATAAACTCCTGATGGGCAAGAACCATGACTGATTTGTTCTTTGCTCTATTTCCAACATCAAATTTCGAGATTTGAAAAGAAAAAAATAATCAGTATTCAGTAATTTTTTGTTGAATGAATACTGAGAATCCTGGTCCAGAAATAGTAACCCTAAATGTTTCCTGTGTATGTTTGTGAAGCTGCCTCTTTTCCTCTGGAGCTCAACATGCGTTCATCAGAATGTGAAGCTGGCAGCCAATATTCAGAGCAGGCCAGAGGTTCTAGAGTTGGCCCTTTGTCAGAGAGCAGTAATTTTTATGCCAGTGTAAACCTCTGCTTAATTGCTCCGGCCCGGCCATCTGAGAATGACAAGCCCATCAATGACATGTGGAAATATAGAATGCACTCACAGCTTGCCTTTAAATGTCAGCAGCGTAGCTGAGGGGTTGGCCTAAAATTTAGATATGGTTGCCAACCCAATCGTCCTTTGTAATTTGTTGTGTTAATAGATAGAGATGGTAAAGGGAATATTTGGGGGTCACCTGAAAAGCACCCAGCCCACTGAGGCTGTAGAAGGGGCTTGTTACTGAGCAGAGGAGGGGAGGCTGGGTGAGAGCCTGGAAGCTGGTGCCTGGCCTCTAACGCAATTGCTGGGACCCCAGGGAACCACCTTGATGGCCCTTGATTACCCCTCTCCCAACCCCCTCAGGTTTACCTCCAGGCCATCCATCCCCTTTGTGAACTTCTAGTGCTATCATTGAGATAATCACAGTGTAATTATACAATTAGCCTAATTGTTGGTAATTGTCAGCACTGTATCATTTTGAAACCTAGCCTCCAACACTGTGGCCCAATTTGGAGGCAAGAGACACCCACAGATGCAAAGCAGCCACTTGATCCTTCTTTCCATTTGGGGATTTTTTTTTTTTTTTCCCCTTTCAAGGTGCCAGAAAGGAAGAACAGGCCTCTTTTATAAATCCATTGTCTGCAAAACAAGGACCCTGGCAAACATGTTTGCAGAAAATCAAGGGCTTTGTAAAAAGCCATGTGTTTTGGCACTAGAAGTCCAAACCATGTGCCAGGGGAATGCTGGAACCAGCGAAGGTTTTCCTTCCTACACTGAGCAGCGAGAGGGTCAAATTGCAGCCTTGCGGCTGATTCCCTCCCTGGGGCATTCCGTTGAGGGTGGTTCTGAACTGAAGTGTTATCTTGCCATCCTTCACATCAGCTAATCAGCATGACTGAGGGTGAGGGGAAGACCTCTCCTCTCTCAGAACTCTCTGGGATCACCCTACCCAGAAATGCCATTGTCTGGGCCTCATAGTGATCATAATAGCCAGCATGTGTTCAGCATTTAAAATCTGCCACACCAGGCACTGTGCTGAACATTGACATAATATATTATCATACTGAACCATGAAACCCCCGCAGAGGGGTAGTTACTATTGTTATCCCCATTTTACAGATGAGAAACCTTAGGCTTCCTCCAAAAAGTTTAGCAAGTGGACCCAAGTCCCATAGCCAGTGAGTAGCTTCATGGCCATTTGAATCTACGTTCTCGTAAGCCTGGGGTCCTGTGCACACCACTCCTTGGGGATGAGGAGTTATCTGTTAATGTGCATTTAATTTTAATATTTACTCATATGCCTGCTTTCACTGGTTGCTCACTGGGTTGGTAGGGATTAAGTAAGAACCCAAGTGAGTGGGGGCAAGGCACACACTGTTGAAAGGGTGTAAAGTTGCAGGTGAGGAAAGGATGAAGACAACATGTTGAAGGTAATGAAAGATTAAAAAAACCAGTTGTATCAGCAGCCAGACCAGGCATTGTATGTACCAGATAGAGACATAAACTTCACCAGAATGTCAGCTTCACTGAGTAGCATGCTTCTGTCTCTATCACCAACTCTCATACAAGTCCTGGCATTTTCATTACATGTTGTCATTTACATTATGGTAGTGTCCAACAGAGGCTCAATAGATACTAGTTGAGCAAATGAAACTCCTGGGGAAAGGGTGAGACACAAACTCAAATGCCTCCAGGGTCCCAGTGCTTATGAAGATAAATGATGCTGGCTAGATTAAAAATAAACACCCAAGCAAGTAGCACAAAAGTGGCAAATGCTAGTAGAGACGAAGGTTCTGAGAGTCTGTCAGTGACTTCTGAAAGTCACAAACCTAATGAACAGTAGAACTATTAATAGCCACAGGTCTCCTGACTTTCTGTGCAGTATTTTTTCCATGACCACTGCTACTCAAGCTCATGGATATGGATTTCTTGCATCTACTATCACAGATTTTTTGAATCCATTGCTCTCATTTTACAGTGGAGAAACCAAGGCCCAGAAAAGAAAGGTGATTTGCCCAGATCATATGGTAAGTAAGTGGCACAGCCAGCTATCATGGCTATTAACCCAAGGCTCTTTCACCTGTTCTGTAGGGCCTCATATGTGCCCAGGAATTACCCTGGCTTTGTGGACAGTTAGAACACTGTGAGAGTTCATTAGACTGTTCTCCTACCTGAAAATAAGGACACATTTTGAATTTCAATTGGGGAAGCAAAACCCTGTTGAAACACAAACTGAATTTACATTAAAGATAGTTCCTCATAGCATCAGAGAATATTAGATCTGGAAGGGCCTTTAGAGAGCAAAGGATTCTCTATCCTTATTTACAGATGAGGAAACTAAGGCACAGAGAGATTAATGAGGAATATTTTTGTTATTTACATTATGGTCATGTCTGCTTCCCTGGTGGCTCAGATGGTAAAGAATCAACCTGCAATGCAGGAGACCTGGGTTCAATTCCTGGGTCAGGAAGAGCCTCTGGAAAAGGAAATGGCAATCCACTCCAGTATTCTTCCCTGGAGAATTCCATGAACAGAGGAGCCTGGCAGGCTACAGTCCATGGAGTTACAAAGAGGCGGACACAACTGAGCAACTAACACTTTCTTGTCTCTGCAGTGTCGTCCAGAAATCAGAAAAGACCAGACAGAGAACAAAAGCATAATAGGCAGAAGTAAGTTCTTATCCTCTGAAATGAGCAATTCATTCCCACTCACCAGTGCCCTTTTCCTTTGGAGCATTTAGGGAAGAGTAATCACTAGCACAGATGGCATGAGATGTCATAAACGGATACTAGCAGGAGCAGGTGATGCTTGATATCTTTAATCCTGCTTGAAGGAGCAAAGATGTTGTCCTCTTAGACGATGCTCTTTAAGGCCTAAGAGATGGGAATCATTCCAGGAAGGCAAAGCCTTGAGCTAAGCTTTGAGGAGAAAATTAGGAAAGAAGGCAAATTTTTGACAAGTGCTCCTGCAAGCCCTCTTGCATCACATCGTGGTCAACAAGGAGTCTTTATGGTGAGATCTGGGCCAGAAACTCAGGAAACTACAGGGCCAGCAGGTCCACGAAAGATGGAAATGTACTTGTTTCATCTCATCATCACATCTGGGGATCTCAGCACTAGTGGCTTTTTTTTTTCCCCCGAGAGGAGCTTGACGCCAAATTTTTTTAAATGAGGAATTACACTTATATAAAAAAAATACATCATAGGGCAAAACCAAAATCTTATCTGAGTTCAAAGTTGGTTGATGATATTTTAGAGCTTACCTGATCTAACCAATCAGGGCAGAGGTTTAAGTTTTTGCTGGCTAAGGATCAGACAAAAGAGCAAGATGTGTGGGAGGTTCATTTGAAACTTCTGTAGACAGTTAAATTGTTTAAATGATCCAAGGCTTATCTCCTTCCAGGAAGAAAATAAATATTGTCCCTGGAGACAGTATTGTTGAATAGAAGGAGCATTGGCTTAGGAGACAAGAGTTCTAGACTTGATGCCTCCAGTTTTTGGTTTGATGACCTTGGGCAAATCATTCTCCTTTCTGATCTTATTTGTAAAGTGAGGTCACTCACCCTGCCTTAAATACCTCACAGGTTTACTGGTGATCAAATTGGATGGTGATCTGAAAGTACTTTGTCATCTGTAACATGTTATGTAGACAAGATTGTGTCTTAAAAGTCTATCAATCAACTTTTATAAGAGAAAATGGTGATAAAATGGAAAATTTATAGATTTTGAGTCAGAAAGATCATGAGCTCAAATTCTGGATTCCCTACCACCAACTATATTCCTTGGGCAATGTTACTCTGTCTGGAGGCTGTTTCCTCATCAACAAAATGGAATAACTGTGTTGCTCTATATAATGCTATTGTGAGGATTAAATGAAACTATGTATGTAGAAAAAGCACATAGTACATCAGTGGGTGCTTAATAAATATTTTCTTCCTCAATCTATCATTAAACTTCATTGACTCAGAAGGACATAGCATTGTAAGAGAGTATTAGTATTTAGTAATTTTCCCTATTCTGAAAGGATATGATTTTGAACAAAGAGAGAAAAAGATTTAGCAGATTTAAAAAAAAAATGAGAAGGAAATGAAAGGTGGCAGAAGGCTGTTGTGGGGAGGCAGTTAGGGAAAGTTTTAGCTGGGAGGTGACTTTCCCTGGGTCTCTTGACCATGAGGAGGCACTGGGGAGGCTTACGGCAGGCAAACAATATTTTAAACAGAGGGATAGAATGGGAAGATTGTGAGAGACAGAGAGAGAGCAGGCTCCCATCCAGGAGATACAATGGATATCAAACATAGATCCTGGAAGGGAAGAAGGACAACCAGAAAGATAGTGTTTAGCCCGCATTTCTTAGGAGTTTGCTTTATTCTGTAAACCACGGGGTGCCATTCAAAGGTTTGACACATGGAAGAAACGTGATCAGACTCACTTTGAAGGAAGAGCTTTCTGGCTGGAGCATGAAGGATTGGATGGGAGAGGAGCACCCTAGAGGCAGAGAGACTCATTAGGAAGCTGTTGAATAAGGGCAATG